ATGGACTTAATGCATACATATTATTAAAATATGGGCTATAACAGTTGTATTGATGTATAGCAACTTGAAATGCTCCCACAAATGGCACTACAGCATGTTAAAAAAAAAAAAAAAAAAGCTCTGGACTTGATTCTATAGTAAGTCTTAAAGGGTTAAATAAATATCGTCAAATAATCGTGATCTCAATTTCAGGGAAAATAATCGTGATTATCATTTTTGCCATAATCGAGCAGCCCTAGCAGACAAGTCACATGTTTAGACTGCTACAAACTCGGTACATGGTGTACAAATGACTGCCAAGGTATCAAGTGGCAAATAAACAGTTCCACATGGTGTAACTTAAATGTCACTCAAATGTCAAATCACTTTCATTACCAAAGTAACTTTTGATATTGAGGTTTTGCAGACATGGGCCGCTATGACGCTAACTTGTATCACACTATGGATGTGTGACAACTTAAGATCCAGAGAATAAGGCCCCAGGTTTACAGAGAGGATGGTGGCCATCTGCCAACCACTAGTCATGAGGGGGGGAAAAAATCAGTTGTGTGTGGCAGAAGGGTGATGGCAGAAAATAAGGCCTCGGTCATGCAGGCCAAGACACCACTCAGTGATCCCTGGTTAACCACCTGTCACTTGGGGAAAAATGTGTATACCTCCAGCAGCCTCCTTGTGCATGTATGCTTTGGTTGCCAGTGTATTGTGGTTGTAGTTTAAATGTAAGTGACCGACTACTAACAGTCTACTAGCACTGTTGAGTTGTAGTGAAACTGAAGTGACAAAAATTGGAAATGGATGCAACCGTCAAAGTAAAACCTGTGTATCAGAGCTGCAGCTTACCTTTAGGGTGGACCTTCCCAATTTTACTGTTTGCACTTTTTAATGTTTTACCTCTGCCCAACTAATAGACAGTGACTGTTTGCAGGTCAACATAATATACTATAGCCAACCCTGGCAGTCTGCTAGCAAACAAAGCAATCACTAGGATGTTTTCGGTGCAGCACTTTGCCAGTAATGTCAGCAGCACTTTGCCTTGCAGCCTTGATGACCAGCACATGACCTTTTTTTTTTTTTTTTTTTTTTTTTAATACATGGTTGAAGTTCTGGTTAGATTGGCTCGCGTACATGCACAGAATCTGCATAAGAGAACAACAAGCACTGGCAGCTACAGTCCATAGCAGTGCAGCTGGTTTCTGACTGGGATGAGGAACTCTCTTTAAAGGCAGCTGAATGAAGTACCTGACAGTGGATGAACTAACTGGCTGCACCAATCAGATGTACACTGTTAAAGTAGCTTTATACAAAATAGTCCAAGAATAAAAATAAGGAGCTGAAAATGAATGTGTCATGTTTAACTCTTTTAAATTAATTTTGTGTTTTCTTACATTTCAGGAGTGTTGTTTCCCCTGGTTGAAGACGGTACTTTCCAACCAGACTCTGCATTACCATTGCGCCCATGAGGTAACGTCAGGACTTACCGGCCCCTCATTATCACCCTTGGTCCATCCATTTCCCTCCCCTCTGACCCTTCCTTCCTTGCACCTTCCCAACCATGGGCCAAAAGATCTCTGGAACCATTAAGTCAGTCGACGTACGTGGAGAGCCATCATACAGGCCTGTTCGACGTGAACTGCGGGGCCCAGATTTCTGTCGGCCACCTAGGCTGGACTTGCTGCTGGACATGCCCCCTGCAAGCCCAGAGACTCAGCTTCAGCACGCCTGGAACCCTGACGACCGATCACTCAATGTCTTTGTTAAGGAGGATGACAAGCTGACGTTCCACAGACACCCTGTAGCACAAAGCACAGACTGTATCCGAGGTAAGGTGGGATATACAAGGGGCCTCCATGTATGGAGGATTCACTGGCCAGCCAGACAGAGAGGCACCCACGCTGTTGTGGGAGTGGCCTCTGCTGAAGCGCCTCTACACTCGGTGGGCTACACAGCCTTGGTGGGCTCAGACTCGGAGTCCTGGGGCTGGGACTTGGGTCGGAACAGACTCTACCATGATGGGAAGAACCGGCCTGTTTCCACATCAGCACCCACATATCCCTCTTTCCTGGAGCCAGATGAATCGTTTGTGCTTCCGGACTGTCTGACAGTGATACTAGACATGGATGAAGGCACGCTGAGCTTCATGGTAGATGGACAGTACTTAGGAGTGGCTTTCAGGGGGCTGAAGGGCAAGAGACTCTATCCTATCGTCAGCGCTGTGTGGGGGCACTGTGAAGTGTCGATTCGTTACGTTAACGGACTAGATCGTAAGTACAACACTGTGTTTTCTGCACTTTAATCTTTGAAATTATTTTTCTGACAGGCTGGCACAAAAGGTTCTGTTCAGTAGGGCTGGGCCATATCATACCGTTCACGGTAATACCGGTATAATGTTGGGCAACGATAAGAAAATGCCATAGAATATGGGTAAAACGCACATGCACAGTGCCTTTGTTTTCATATGCACATGGCGGGAAAAACATGGCAGCGACAGAGAATGAAAAAGGCGAAAGCGGATCGTTGAATGAAACGGATGAACCAGAATTGGTTTGTAAAAATGCTGCAACTTCAGTGATGTGGAACTGGTTTAGCTTTCGTCCGTCAGATACACAACAAAGCACTATTTTTGGTAGCGCATGCTAGCGGGCCGTCGTTATTACCTTGTTTTTTGGAAAATGCGGAACACTTAAAATCAATCCTTTGATTTTTCTGAAAGTCGACAGTGCCCCTTATAATCCCGTGTGCCTTATGTATGAATTCTGGTTGTGTTTACTGACCTCAAAACGATTTTATGTCGTACATGGCGCTGGAAAATCTGTCAAATGTTTTAGTACGACTTTGCTGAGCTACCGCTTGATGGATTGTTGGAGCATTACGGCTACCGTAGTCAGGAGCCTCACGGAGTGATACATACTGTGCTTCAACATAATATTACCGTATTGTGTGTGTGTGTGTGTGTGTGTGTGTGTATAACCGCTTAAGTTTTGTGGATATTATACATGGTTATGCTGAGGATATGTCGGCCAATTTCCACTGGAAATGCTTTTTGGTTAAACTGTCAGCAAGGAATTTGCATTTGCACTGTTAAATTTTTATATAACTTTAATGCACATAAAAAAACAGCTGCTTGTTTAAGTGAAAATACATTGATGTTTTTTTTTTTTGCACTAATAAAGTTGTGGAGTTGTAAAGTATTTTGTCTAGTGTCAATTATATCGTCAGTTATAGCGTTATCACAAATTTTCGAATGTATATCGTGATAAATATTTTTGGTCACATGCTCTCCTGTTCAGATCAGTTTTTGTTTTTTTTGTTTTTTTGTTTTTTTTGTTTGTTTTTTGTTTGGGATGTAGAACAAGTTCACTATGAGTCGTCTAAATGCAAATTCCCTCAGAGCAAGCACTAAGTGACTGGGAAGAAAAAACTCCCTTTTAAAAATAAGACAGCTCTAGCAGAACTAGGCTTAGGGAGGAGCAACTGCTTGCTGTGACTGATTGGTGGGTGAGGGGAACACATGGAGAGATGAAGAAAGTGTTGCAACAGAAATGACATAGGAAAGGAAGATATAATTTCTTTCCATTCCCTTTACGGTCTTCAGTAATCTCCAGCATCTGCTTTTACCTTCTGCTGTTTGTTTTCTGACAGTGTTGAGCTTTAATACTGTATAATTTATCAAAACATGTTACATAGCATGCATTTAGGGGAGCACTTTCCAAAGTGAGACTGGCACAAATTGAATGTCTTGACTTTTCTGCTTAATTCTTGTTTAAGTTTTGCATGGGCTTCTCTTACTAGAGCTCATGCAGCTTTTTAGGTTGTCTGTGGACTGCTGTGTTGATACCTACTTGAACTTAATTTGTAGTCAGCATGCACACACAGATTTGAGTTTCATATATATATATAGAAGTGTAATAACTTTCACGGCGTGAAAAGCACATAACTCGTAGCTCTCTACCGAGTCGACTAGAGCCCGTTTTGCTGATTGCATTTGCATCGCTGCAGAAATGCGGAGAGTTGGATGTGTTGGGCAAATTTTCCACACTGTGGATATGTAATGTTTATGGCTGCAAATCAGGAAAGACTTCTATTTAGAGCAGCTCATTAGGGCTTCAGTGACCCAGGGTGTGATTTGTGCTGTAACATCTTGGAGTCCAGCGAAACTGGGAGAGGAGGGAGCAATTCTAGCAAAGGCATGTTTATCTAATATTTAATACACGAGTGATGTGGAGGATTAACCATTGGTAATAGTGTGGATGATTTCCAAGTGCTTATAACATGTGTTGGCTCTCAGGATATATGGTTTGAGGCAGTTAGAAATGCTCAATGAATTTCCATCTACAAAAAGCCCACAATAGGAGGGACTGCTGCTTTGTTAACCACTAGGAAGCAGCTGAAAGATGTCTCTGTACTAAAGCGTGCTATTCATACTTCATTTGTGGCACTTTCATACAGACTTCAACTTTCAGACACGCAGAAGGCAAACATCCAGCTCTGTCCATTTCACTGCTGTCCCAAACTTAAACATAGTGAATGTGCGTGCGTGCGTGCGCTGGCTTTGTGTGTTTTCTGTTAAATGTCATCATTCCCTAACCCAGAGACTGGAGTCGGCTCAGATTGCGTAACAGCCCTGCCCTCAGTCAACCCTCCAGCTCTTGCCTGCATGTGGCGCGCAGGCCCAAAACAGGCCGGGGGCGTTGCCAACAGTGTGGCACGGACGCCGTGTCCATGGCTGTGAGCCATGTGTGGACAGCAGACAGTTGAGGGGGAGCTCTGGAGGATTTCCCAGTGTGCTTCTGAGTTAAGCGTCTAGCCTTGAATGGTGAGAAACTTAAGGTTAAAGTTGGCTCTGTGAACAAAACATGCCACAGTACATCTGTCGTTACATCATGACGATCACACTTGTTGCGTATATATGATAACATTTTCCCATCTTCGTGTGAAGGTGGGATTTGGCTAGTGTGAAAAATATGTTAAAATACTAATGTGGTCTGTGTAAGGATTAGGCATGGCACTTTTCTTTGACTAGTTTCAGTTCACAACTCACTGTATGCTAGTCCTTTTTATATCAGTGATAAGCCCTTGGACAGCTAGTAACATGGTTGAAACGGAGAATCCACTTTAAAGTTGTATGCTATCAAAAAGAGGGATTTCATTGAGTGTTCTGAATGTATGGATCCACGGCTGAACGTGAAGCTGCTGTAATGTCCGGCCCAGACCAAAGGAAATCTTGCTTTGAAGTGTTAACATTTACTGCCGTTTTCAAAAAGTGAGTACAACACAGCCCCGAACTTTAGAAGGTCGAGGTATTTCTTCTCTCTGTCCTACAGAACATTTGGTCAATTGTTTTTATTGTCAATATATGGCGACACATTTAAGCAGCCGACTGTCAGCCAGTGGTATCATTCTTTTAATGTAATGTGATTTCAGAGTTCGGTCACAGCGATGATCAGTGGAATGTCCTGAGGATATAAGCTCGGCTGTCTCAATTGTCCACTTGGCCCCTCAGTTAGGTCTAATAAGAGGATGTGGGTATGTGGTTGTATGGTGTACAGTTTCCCACATATAAGAGCTCAATGTGTTTTGTTTTGTCTTTTATTTTTATTTTTTTTGGGTGGGGGGGTGAAAAGTGTGAAAGCCACACCACAAGGCTCAGGCCTTTTGGAGGTCGTTTGATTGTCGGGTACTCTGTGACTAAGGCTGTCCAAAAAAACAAACTATTCTAATCAACAGTAAAAATTACTGTGGGATTAGATATTCATTCATTGCTGTCTTTCATGATTGTTGCCTATTTTTGTGCGTGATACTATTTGAAGTTTTGGCATCATGACAGCATCGTTTGGGACTAGAAAAGATAAAGGACTGGTATCAGGAGCTGCCGTCCTGCAGGTGGTACTCCTCATTCAGCAGTGATGATGGTGATCTATGCGATGGATGTAAAAGTTAAAAACATGAAATGCTAAGATGAGTTTCCAAAAATACCTACTCGGGTAAATTCTTTGCGGCAACATAGACCTAATCGCATATAAGATGTAGCTAAAAGGTGTGCCAGTATAGCATGGAAGTGACTATACAGCAGTCTGCACTGGTCTGTCAGGAATGGATGTGCTTTTAGCAAGTAAATTGTTAGTGATTCTCATTAGTTTAACTCTCAGAACATTTATAGTTTGTTTTCTATTGACGAGCTTCATTAGTCTTTGCAAAAATAAACCGTTTGTTTTCATTTTCATTTTGCTTCTTAACATTTTAAATTATAGATTAATGATCCATGAATCGACACAATCGTACTCCCATTTGTCTGCCTGGTATATCGTGTTTTTGTCTGTTGAGTTTGGAAGTCTCAAATGTTCAGACGAGCCTGTGTTGTGGCAGATTGCACATGGGAGATCAGTGTATGATATTAGACACAAAGCACATCTCTCTGATGTAGAGAAGAATAGAAGCGTCAATATGTATGCTCGGAGATGTCAGTGCTCCCTTATTCCTGGGTCTCGCAGAGGATTCACTGATTGTTCGCTTTCTTGGTTTTTCATGTGTCATGTAGTTCTTTCATTCCTTTCTTCCCCTCGTTCTACCCCCACTTGGACTCCTTTGTTCTTCATCTCACTCCCCAGGAAGCGAAAAGAGATGAGTATCCTTTTACCCTTCTCCTGTCTGTATTGTCCCTTAATACCCCACATTAAAGCAGTTTTCTCATCCTCACAGACTCCACGCCAAACTTTGGCCTTGAGTCCCAGATACAGTTGAAAGCCACACCTACTGAGACGGGATTTATTTGTTTATTTATTATTGTTATTATTTTGATTATTTATTATTTTTACTTTTTTAAATCACTTTTATACCTGTAACTGGCTATCATGGTGTCACTGGATTTTGGCCTGATCTTTCTATCAACCACACCAGGCCTCATGATACCACAGTCTGTGTAATGGCAGCAATTTACACCACATAAGAAGGGGTTCAGACATCCTGCTGACATGCATGTCCACCCCTGGTTGTAAATCAACTGTGTTTGCCTCCAATTCTCATTGTGTTTCATTACCTCCCTCCTGTTTCAT